TACTATATGTAACACTATACATGTAACATGTACTATATGTAACACTATACATGTAACATGTACTATATGTAACTCTATAAATGTAACATGTACTATATGTAACTCTATAAATGTAACATGTACTATATGTAACTCTATAAATGTAACATGTACTATATGTAACACTATACATGTAACATGTACTATATGTAACTCTATAAATGTAACATGTACTATATGTAACTCTATAAATGTAACATGTACTATATGTAACTCTATAAATGTAACATGTACTATATGTAACTCTATAAATGTAACATGTACTATATGTAACACTATACATGTAACATGTACTATATGTAACACTATATAGGTAACGTATTCTATATGTAACACTATACATGTAACATATACTATATGTAACACTATACATGTAACATGTACTATATGTAACTATAAATGTAACATGTACTATATGTAACTATAAATGTAATATGTACGATATGTAACTCTATAAATGTAACATGTACTATATGTAACACTATACATGTAACATATACTATATGTAACACTATATATGTAACACTATACATGTAACATATACTATATGTAACACTATACATGTAACATGTACTATATGTAACTATAAATGTAACATGTACTATATGTAACTATAAATGTAACATGTACTATATGTAACTCTATAAATGTAACATGTACTATATGTAACACTATACATGTAACATATACTATATGTAACACTATATATGTAACATGTACTATATGTAACACTATACATGTAACATATACTACATGTAACACTATACATGTAACATGTACTATATGTAACTCTATAAATGTAACATGTACTATATGTAACACTATACATGTAACATATACTATATGTAACACTATATATGTAACACTATACATGTAACATATACTATATGTAACACTATACATGTAACATGTACTATATGTAACTATAAATGTAACATGTACTATATGTAACTATAAATGTAATATGTACGATATGTAACTCTATAAATGTAACATGTACTATATGTAACACTATACATGTAACATATACTATATGTAACACTATATATGTAACATGTACTATATGTAACACTATACATGTAACATATACTATATGTAACACTATACATGTAACATGTACTATATGTAACTATAAATGTAACATGTACTATATGTAACTATAAATGTAACATGTACGATATGTAACTCTATAAATGTAACATGTACTATATGTAACACTATACATGTAACATATACTATATGTAACACTATATATGTAACATGTACTATATGTAACACTATACATGTAACATATACTACATGTAACACTATACATGTAACATGTACTATATGTAACTATAAATGTAACATGTACTATATGTAACTATAAATGTAACATGTACTATATGTAACACTATACATGTAACATATACTATATGTAACACTATATATGTAACATGTACTATATGTAACTATAAATGTAACATGTACTATATGTAACTATAAATGTAACATGTACTATATGTAACTCTATAAATGTAACATGTACTATATGTAACACTATACATGTAACATATACTATATGTAACACTATATATGTAACATGTACTATATGTAACACTATACATGTAACATATACTACATGTAACACTATACATGTAACATGTACTATATGTAACTATAAATGTAACATGTACTATATGTAACTATAAATGTAACATGTACTATATGTAACTCTATAAATGTAACATGTACTATATGTAACACTATACATGTAACATGTACTATATGTAACTATAAATGTAACATGTACTATATGTAACTATAAATGTAACATGTACTATATGTAACTATAAATGTAACATGTACTATATGTAACACTATAAATGTAACATGTACTATATGTAACACTATACATGTAACATGTACTATATGTAACTCTATAAATGTAACATATACTATATGTAACACTATACATGTAACATGTACTATATGTAACTCTATAAATGTAACATGTACTATATGTAACACTATAAATGTAACATGTACTATATGTAACTCTATAAATGTAACATGTACTATATGTAACACTATACATGTAACATATACTATATGTAACTCTATAAATGTAACATATACTATATGTAACACTATACATGTAACATGTACTATATGTAACTATAAATGTAACATGTACTATATGTAACTATAAATGTAACATGTACTATATGTAACTATAAATGTAACATGTACTATATGTAACACTATAAATGTAACATGTACTATATGTAACACTATACATGTAACATGTACTATATGTAACTCTATAAATGTAACATATACTATATGTAACACTATACATGTAACATGTACTATATGTAACTCTATAAATGTAACATGTACTATATGTAACACTATAAATGTAACATGTACTATATGTAACTCTATAAATGTAACATGTACTATATGTAACACTATACATGTAACATATACTATATGTAACTCTATAAATGTAACATATACTATATGTAACACTATACATGTAACATATACTATATGTAACTATAAATGTAACATGTACTATATGTAACTATAAATGTAACATGTACTATATGTAACACTATAAATGTAACATGTACTATATGTAACACTATACATGTAACATGTACTATATGTAACTCTATAAATGTAACATGTACTATATGTAACACTATAAATGTAACATGTACTATATGTAACTCTATAAATGTAACATGTACTATATGTAACTCTATAAATGTAACATGTACTATATGTAACACTATACATGTAACATATACTATATGTAACTATAAATGTAACATATACTATATGTAACACTATACATGTAACATGTACTATATGTAACACTATACATGTAACATGTACTATATGTAACTCTATAAATGTAACATGTACTATATGTAACTCTATAAATGTAACATGTACTATATGTAACACTATACATGTAACATGTACTATATGTAACACTATACATGTAACATGTACTATATGTAACTCTATAAATGTAACATGTACTATATGTAACTCTATAAATGTAACATGTACTATATGTAACACTATACATGTAACATGTACTATATGTAACACTATATAGGTAACGTATACTATATGTAACACTATAAATGTAACATGTACTATATGTAACTATAATGTAACATATACTATATGTAACACTATAAATGTAACATGTACTATATGTACCAGTCATTCCCAAACTTTTTTTGCCAGATGAAAATATTTACAAGCCCTCCACCCCTCACATCCACATATGTCGATTTACACTCATCACACTATCACGTCATTTGCTAACAAATTACTATAATTTTAGAATTGATCTCAAACACTGTCTGAAAAAAGTACAGAAAGCAACTTCAGTATGACAACAAACTAACAATCAAGGTGCTTTTAGAGAGGAAGCAGTGAAACCCAGATTTACTCCAACTCTCTGACAATGAACAAATGATGAAAATCTTTTAAGATGAATATATCCTGCTTGTTTTGTGCTGCAGATCTTCTCAAGTCTGGGGCGCAGCTGTGAGACTGTGACTCTTCATATTTGATGTCACTTTGATCTTAGTTTTGTGTTGATTGAGGCGACTGCAGAACAGCCTCTCGCACAGGATGTGGCAAAAGAAAGGAGTATGGCTCTCTTCATTACCCGCTGTTGAAGAGATGAAGCCGAGGGCGAGATATGACTCGTCTTATTTTCTCGTCTTTGTTTTAGTTGTTGTGACATCTGGGGTAGATTCATTGTCAGCCTTGTGTTTACCTGGAAGTCCTTTCATAAATCTGTTATGCTTTGCCACAGTTCTCACTTTGGGATTCACTGATGTACTGTAGGTGTAGAGATACCAGGCACAAGCATGAGGGGGTAGTTAAACTCTCAAGAAGATTCACATTTTAATTAAACAAAGGTTATAATTGTGAAGAATTTGTGTATTTGAATAGACAAAGAAGTCAGACCCTCCTTTCCCTCCCCTTCCTCAATCCAAAAAAGATTTAAACAGCGACAAAGAAGCCAGCACATTTAAAGCTCAAAACTAATAACTAATTTATAGATGTTCTTGGAAATGTTTTTTTACTATCATACTATACCTCTTGCATGTACTGAGTTCTTCAAAACAAGACAAGCAGTGTTTTCAATTACGCTACAAATCCTCAATTAAGATTCCAGTTCATTTAAAGTTTTCTCAAACATCATGGCATTGGAGTTCATTTGTTTCTTTCTATCTCTGTTGTTTCAACAGACTGACAAACTGTGAGTGAAAGCTGTGATACAAACGCTCGTTCATTTGTTGTCTGACACAAACTGACACATTGCTGAGTGTAGACTCATCCTTTACACATTGACCAGTCACACAACGGTCATATGTTCACTATGATACGATGTCAAAATGTTTCAAATAAATTCATCTCCAAAAAGAGAAAAAAAAAACCTAGCACATCCAAGCAAAATGCATACAGGTGCAGGACAACAAAAAGTACAAAACAGCAGAAGAAAGAGAAAGGTCCGCACACTATTCAGCTCCCAATGAGAAACTTTATTTTAAACAGAGCAACATTTCAATCCAATGGCCTGAGGAAGCTCCTTTGGATTGAAACGTCGCCATGGAGCTGAACAGTGTGCGGACCTTTCTCTTTTTCCTAAAGTTAATTAATCTCACCAAAATGAATTTCAATAAAACTTGAAAAACCCCAAAATCTATCAACATAACAAAAAATGTGATACCAAAAACCCTTGATTAAATCAGCACGTTAAAAAAGTATTTATTAACAATGACTTCACAGAACATATATATAAGTGCACAGTGAACAGTAAAAACACATTGTTAAAAACCACAAATGATCGCACCGCCATAAAAAAAACTATTATGCTGCAGTGGATAAAATATAACACTATGTAAAAGCAGTTTTCCATATTCACAGGAACTCATTCAGCTGTTGCTGAATTTTCCATGGTAACCAGGCAATAAAGTCTTAGAAAGGGGAGGATTTATGTAAATCCCCTGAACACTTTTGCTAAGCATGATGAGAAACCTACACATGTGAAACACTGTCAGGTAGAAACAGGTTATGTGACCCCTCTCCGTCCAGAATAAAACCAATTAAACTTCACAAGAAAAGATTCAGGTCTTATTCCAGGTCGTAGTTGTCGTACGACAGCCGCTTCAAAAGTGTGATACTGTCTGAAATGAAAATCATAGGAAATAAGAGAAAATATGATTAGTAACAGTCAATTAATTAACGAGTTCACACAGAAAAGAAAGCCGTTAATCTCTTACCCAGCACCCACTGCTCCGACAGGATCCGGCACCCCTCTGGTATCCGGCCGCTGTACTTTCCGATGCAGATTCCCGCCTGCCGCACAGTTTTGCAGACTCTTCCTCCACAGAGCTGGATCAGCTCGACCAGACTCTGAGTGGGCGGCTGGGAGTGCTGGGACACGAACATGGCTGGCTGTTCATGGAACAGGTCTTGCTGATGCTCCCCGGCAGACAGGTGCCTCTGGAGACGACAGATCTGGGAGAAGAAATGTACAGAGTTACACACCCCATATCTTATCTTCTCTGAAACCAGTCCAAAGTAAGTTCTTATAAATGATGGACACTAGTCCAGTAGGTATTTTTCGAGGGTTTATCAAAGATTCAATCTTTTATACCAGATTTTCAATCAACAGCCTTCATGGTTCATAGAGTATTTGTACGTCTGACTGAAAGACTTTTTCTCTTTGGTTGGTGAATGATGCTCTCAGCGCTCTCAGAGTACAGTCTGCTCTGCACCCAGCAGGGGTCAGATGTTAAACTGAAGGAGACGATCTGCTCTCTTCTAAGTTGAATGCCAGGAAACAAACTTTAAATCCACTCAAGTCTTTTGTCAATGTTCACACAAGTTTCTCTTCACATGAAGTAATCAGGGACTGGTCAGAGGGTTCAGAGACAGGGGTCAAGTTCACGTTGACCCCACATTGTGCACTTTTAGAGAATGATTGAAGGCTATATGTAAAGGTGGATTATGTGAGAAACACAGCTCAACAGAGAGGGGAAACATTAGAGAGCTGAACATAATGCTGATACAAAGAGTTCATGTGGACAGCACAACTTCTATGAAAATATTAATACTGTGTTGTATAATAATATAGATTATAGTGTATGGTTGGACGAAGCTTTTTTACCCTTAGATATGATGAGCTGTCACACATACACTCCTGAACTTTCGGGACAGCCTTTCCCCTGATACTACCACCCAACTCCCCTGACGCCCAGCCACAACCATTGGACTACGTCGACCACCGCGGTCCTCATTCATGCACGGCCTGCTCTGACCTCCACCTCAAGGAAGTGTGGACAACAGGAACGAGAAAAATATAAAGCAGAAATCCTTCCTGCATCTTATCCCATCTCCCCCTATCCCATTTGTCTTCTGTAGCACAACAATGAGTACGTCCTTTTAACTGCTCTTTTGTAAATAAAAATTGATTGATATCTGACTTATTCCTGCTGCGTTCACACATCAGCTCAACAGACTTCCCGTGGAAATTTTCCTAAAGGGGCTGGCAGGAAAAAGTGGGGTAAAGTTGGGATGGAAAAATCCTGCTGTTTTGGTTCACACATTCGACTCAGCCCCACAAAGGGTCATTTTCTTTAAGTTTTGTGCATGTGTGAAAACAGTAATGCTTTATCATGCTAGCCAGGACGGCAACAAAAAAATAAAATGATTGAATAATGCTCCCATCATTTTGTTAATAAGTTAATTGTTTAGTCTTTGAAATCACAATTTTTCTACAGCATAAAGTTGAGCCTTTAAACGTCTTCTTTTGTAAAAATCCAGAGTTCAAAAGTTCATTTTTAAAAGATAAAAGCAGCTCATCTCTACATGTTAGAAGCTGGATCCAGAAAATGTTCGATTTCTTTTTAATAATAGAAATTACCAAAAGGAATAAATTATTTTTAAAATTTTAAAAGTAAATGAATCAATGCAGCCTCAATATAAACAGCTTTTAACGAGACTCATCTGCCTATTATAGTGCCTGGAGCAGCTTGAGTTAATGCACACAGCATGTATACATGTGTTTACATTCATGTCAAGATGTATCCCATCTCCTCACACATATGACCCAATTACCTCTGGTTCTTCAACAGCATCTTGGAATTACTTTGCAATCACTTCAAATCTTGTGTACTGCTGCGTTTACAGAACAGTTATAGTGACCTACATTTCTGCCTGCATCTCCCGGAGGTTCGACACAGAAACAGAAAGCTAATGACACTTAAATATTCATTTGTGAACTGTAGCTGCGATCTGAAACCTGCCTGATTGTTGCAATCAAAGCTGTAAAAGCTGAATTTTTTAAACCTCCAGAGGACGGCTCATAGAGATGCCCATGGTAACAAGCCTTTCTGATGAACACTCTTGAAATTGGAGGTGGCATATAATAGCCCCTCTCATTTATACCACACATGGGAATTCCTAACGCTGTACTCTGGCGGCCCAATCAAGATCTTTGCAGCTGATTATGTGATGTTACATTTTTCTAAATTGAGGCTGGACGGACGGGCTGAGAGCTTCTTTAGCGCTTAAACAACAATTACCAGGTTGAAGATTAACAACACTTAACAGCCCTGCACAACATCCTCTCATGCTTAATTAACCTTTTCTTTGGCCAATTAACTACCGTTCACATTTCCCTCATTCATGTCATAAAGCATCACCACAAGGAGTCATGATGCATTGACACAGTGAGTCAAACTGGCATTTTAATTTAAAGGAGATCTATCATACTCACTTTCACCATTAATTATGTCAGACTGGGACACTTATTCAGTCACGTTGTGAGATGTGAAGCTCATGAACCTCTTATTTTTTTTTATACTGGTGTCAGTGTTTCAGCCTCGCCTGAAACAGATAATTTCAGCTGCTCTCTTTAAGGCCTCCCCCCCCCCAACGTGTCCACTTTCCTCCGATAGGCCAGCTCTGTTTGCAGTCACAGGGAAATCTGAGTGAGCTTCAGGGTGGGCGTGTCCTACAATTTTCTCTAATACGTCGGCAGAACCTGACGTCAGGGTTTAGGCCAAGTCTTGCAAAGTTTTCTTAACGTCTCGTTCAGAGCAGAAGGAAACCACATCCGGGGGATTACCCCAACAACTGGGCATCTTGCGTTTAAAAAACCTTGCTGAGGTTTAGGATGGACATCCAACACCTAAAACTTTGTTAGCAAGTAATACAAAACATTTTAATCTTTTTTTTATTTTTTTATAATTTTTTGGGGGGATTTTTGTGCCTTTAATGGAGACATAGGACAGTGGATAGAGTATGAAATCAGGGACAGACAGTAGGGAATGACATGTGGGAAAGGAGCCACAGGCTGGATTTCAACCTGGGCCACCCGCTTGGAGGATTACAGCCTCCATTCATGGGGCGAGCGCACTAACCACTGCGCCACCAGCGCCCCAACATTTTAATCTTTATCATGAGGGTAAAGAAGTAAATTTGTTGCCGTATAGATATTATGTGTGCTGTAAAATTCAGCTTAGGCCCCTTTTTTTCCTCTAGTCTTGAGAAAAACTTTAAGTATTTTGTGTATGGACATACATGGGATGTGGCCCAGTGGTCCTTTCCCTTCCCGTGTGTCCAATAACCGTTAAAGAACGAACTGCTGCTATCAAATCTCCTGTTTGAGTGAGTCAGCGTGAACACCTGAAAGAGTCCGTGTTTTTAGAATGACGTCAAGTCCTTCCTCTTTGGTAATGCGCCTTAAATATGTTGCATTTCCCTCATACAGTAACTCTTACATCAGCCCGCTTCCTGCCATTCTGTTTCAGTATTTCTATACAACTGCAAGAGGGCAAATCTGAGGCTTTCCTGTCAAAAAATGAAATACAGTGAAGTTCAGACTCGAATGCGGTCATGCAAGGTAAAATGAAAAACCATGGCATTATATGAAGCTCCATTTAACTGCAATTATTTCACAACAAACAAACAAGGTTTTGTTTTTGTTAGAGAGAGTGGTGTTGTCACAATACCAGAGTTTTAATCTTTGATTTGATACTAGTAAAAATCAAGACATTTTGATAACGTGTTACCACAGCAACAAATATATACTGCAAGTCCTGGCAATCTATTGGGTACTTTCTTGTTTTTAATTACCAACAATTGCAAGCACACTCATTAAGTTGCAATAATACAGTGGCAATAATGTCAGTGCCAAAATGTTGCAATTTAGAGAGTGTCAACCCCTCTGCTCTCTGTCTGTTTGTAAGAGACATACAATGCCAAAAGCCCTGAATAAAAGTCGATATTTGCTCACCTCTGAATTTAAATGCACCACCGCTGCTCTTTCTTGCCTGCAGTAGCGTTTGGTTAAAATAAGACTGGAGCTCCGTTGTTGTTTTTCAAGCATCTGTACTTTTTTGATATTAAAGATCATTAAAATTGTAGAGATTGTATAGTTTTAAAACACAGTATCGCAGTAAGTTTGAACGACCTTAAGAGGGAGTAGAGAGTTAAGTACAATCTGAGAGTCTGTGATGGAGGCACATTCCTGCAGTATGGGACAAAACATCCTCCTATGTCAGTGCCCTTCCTGCACAAATCACCTGCACTCTGTTCCCCGCCGTGACACGAGCGCCCTCAGACAGACTTATGTGAAGTCTGGTGCAATAAAGGGGGAAAAGACCCCCAAACATGACTTTGTTGCCTTGCAGGATGTCCACTCTTAACTCATATAGGTTGTTCACAGCTGTATTGTTACGTCAAGGGGAGCCTAATTTTCAAGTCAATAAACCGGGGCTGATTCATGCTCAGAGCTGGAAAACTATTTTCTTCAAGCCGCAGATAACTAGTTACTTAATACGAGCATTTCAGGCATGTTGTTTACAAAGGATGTATAAAATGCACTCTTTAATCAAATCATGCTGAAATGAGACACCCTGCCTTTTATAAGTCAGGAAAACATGCAGTCTTGTTCACATTTTGCCTGATTTTTTTCAACACTTACTTAACGTAAGAATCTTTATCCGTGTGGGATACCCTTTTTCTCGTTCTATTTCAAGCGTGTACAGACATGAAACTCAGAGACAGGATACAGAAAACACCCACAATCTGCACACATATTCAAAAGTGAACAAAATCAAACAAGGAAGGCTACAATTAAGAAGCTGAATTTTTTGTTTTTAGAGAAAACAAAGAAACAAAACAACTTTCCCATGACTCTTTCTGATGGGGAAGGGTTAGAACAAATACAGCTTTGATTATTCTTGTGACTCAGACAGAGACCTGCCAAGTGCATTCAGTCTAAAATTGCATAAATCTGCCCAGAAGCAGATGCCACGTCTATTTTGCGGTCAGAGGTCAATAAGTGGCAACTTTAGTTTGTTACAATAACAGATTCTTTTAGACGGTACAGACCCTGACCTCTGGAGGAAGATCTGGGAATCTTGGACTGTTTTATAACATTTTTAACTTGTAAAAAAAAAAAAAAGAAGAATTTTACTGCTTTTAATATTAATCTAGCAGACTTTACGAGTTCATTAGAAAAATACACAGAAGGAGTCTAAAAAGAAGTAATTTAAATAGAGGCCTCTTCCTTTGACTCCCATTCAAAGATGCTTCGTCATTAACCGAGAAACATTCTTGAATGAATGGGATGGACGCTGCTACTATCACACAGTGTGCCGAAGG